GCTTCCTTTCCGGAGGACTCGGAGTCTTTGGGGCCCTTGGCAAGCCCTGGGCCTTGAGGTCAACTGGCGGCGGCGCGGGCGGCGCTGGCACAGGCACTGGTGGCAACGCCTCTGCCCGCCCGCCACGCTGCGCATTTGGCAGAACCCAAGTTGACGTTGGCCGCGCCAGCACTGGGGGTGGCGGCGCTGGGGGCGCTGGCGGAAACTGCGGAACTGCCCAGTGCAGCTCACCGCACGGCTGCCCTAACTGTGGCTGGAGTGGCGGATGCTGCGGGAATGGCTGCAACTCCACAACCAGCCGCGCTGATTGTAGTCCTGGCGGTGGCGGATGCAGCGGGGGCTTCGGCTGCCACTGATCGCGCGGGCGCGCTTTCTCTGGTCGAGGTGCTTCTTGTCTCCGAGGCGACAGCTGCAGCGATGGTGCCCTGTGGCAAGGCGCTCTCTTTACTCGTATCGGCTGTCGCTGCGGAGCCACTGACGTTGGTTGGGGTGTCTGCTGCTGCGCAAGCGCTAGCTGTGGCTCCGAGTGCGGCCGTGGCGTCGCTGTCTGTGGCTGCGCCGCGCGAGTGCCCCCACCCGCTGCAGACAACGTCCACGAGCCCCAGGTCTCATCATCATCGGCGGCAGCAGCATGCGGCGGGAGCGCTTGCACATCGGCAACGGCTGCCGAAGCCGACGCCGACGCGGGATCCAGCGCCGCCTCATCACCCATGCGTCGCTACTCCCGCGGGGGCCGAAAAAAGGCGCTCCTCATGGGCTGCGCAGCGGAGCCACAACGGTTTCGGCATTGGGGAGTTCTGAAGGAGGACCTGCGTCGGGCACGGCATCGCGAAACGCACGTGTTTTTTTTACTGGTGTCGCCGAGTCCACCGCCGATCGCTGAGACCTCCGCACGCTGCGAGATCATTCTCGCGCCCCCCCCCCCCCCAAGGACCCATGGAAGAAGATCACTCTCCAACACAGGCCGCGAGGCGCGATGATCCCGGCGCAACCGCAACCTCCGAGTGGACTGCGGGGACGACCCTGCCATCGGCATTTGAAGCCACAACAACACTGGAACAATCCTGAACGGCCGTTGGGGTGTGGATTTCTTTTGGGATTGACCCTCACCCTGTCCACGCTCTCCCACGGGCCTCCAGAGACACAGCCTTCCAGGAGGCACTCGCGTTGGCGGGGAAAAACCGCGCGTGAATTCGTACTAGCCAGCACATAATTCCGCACACGCGTGGGCCTCGCCGCCGCCCATCCGCGAAGTGCGCCGTTGACCGGCGCAGCAAGACGTTGCGCTATACGTTCGACAAGGCTACAAGCAGGAAGCATACGAGGGCGGCGCCCATGCGTATTCCTGCGATGTGGGGGGGCGCCCCCGTATCATCTAGGTGTACAGAAGTGACGCTGCACACGCAAAAAAATGGAAGTCTGCTCGTGGAGTGGCAACAGCCGCCACCCGCTGGCCGAACGCCTGCCACCACTGACGCGCTACATGAACCCCTCACTAATCCGTTTCGCCGTCGCCATCGGCTCCCCCCCATGACCCACGCAAGAAGATCACTCTCCAACACAGGCCGCGAGGCGCGGTTATCCTGGCGCAACCTTGGAGTGGACTGCGGGGGCGACCCTGCCATCGGCATTTGAAGCCACAACAACACTGGAACTAACTGCAAGAAGCACATGGTTTTCCTGAGGCGCGGGAAAGGGAGCCTCGTTGCCAAAGGAGCAGCCGCCGCGCGAAACGCGCCCTTCCTCGCGCCCTTGGAACAGCCGCATGCAAAACACATTGCCAACCTTGGCCGCAAGACACGATTCTCGTGGAGCAATTTTGGATAGATTGCGGAACAGCCGCTGGCATCGAAACTTCATGTCACAGTGACACCCAAGCATCCCAACGAAACTCGCACGAACGGTCTTGTCGGAGGAAGCCCTGGCTGCCAAAGGATCTTGCGCCGAACGAGCGTGACCATCCTCAAGCCCCTACCACGACCGCGTGAAGAATGCACATTCACCACCAGACCGCAATGCGCGATTATCCTCACACGACAAATGGGTTTGGACTTTCGATCTGGTCTCGATCTGTCCAAAGCCTCCAACGCGCCTCCGAGGATGAAACCCTCCACGAGGCACCACCGTTGGTCCGGAGGACAAAAAATTGGCTTCAAAACCTCCACCCTGCGCGGTGGGACGTCCGCACGCTGCGAGATCCTCCTCGCAGGGCTTTCGTGGGAGTCCTCCTACTATGTTGCGGCTCAAAGAAACAGAATCTGCATCACTAATCGCTCCTCCTTTTCTGAACCACCTCACGCCCCCTCCTTTCCCCATACTTGCGTCGCAGCAGCTCAACTCGCCGCTGTTGATTCCGTGCGCGCGTGAACCTCGCCGCAATGCGTCGGCGACGTCCGATTCGCACCTGTGTTTCAAAGACGTTGCACAGTATCTCCGGGAAAAAAACCCACGAGCCAGCAGGTGAGGGGGACGCCCCTACGTATGTATACATATATATATATATATATATATATACGCGTATATACATGCACACATATGTCGACATATATGTGTATATATATGTATACATATACTTGCGTTGCGGGGGGACGCCCCATGTATCATCTGGCTTATATATGTACATGCCCGGCACACGCAAAAACTAATTGAGATCTGTTCGTGACCGCTGTCGCTGGCGCCTCATCATCATCCGCTGTCGCTGGCGCCGAATGAACACACCACGAGCCAATTCTTGAGCCCAAAGACACGCTGTCGAATGGCACCGCGCACTGCCACCTCTGTGCACGCATGCCTGCCCATGTTATGTACGTGTGTGTGTACAATGTACGATTGCATGTTCTGTATATATACACATATGTTTATGTATATATACATATACGATCATTAATACACACGAACGTACAAAGTTGCTGAGGGTGGACCTGATGCGAGGCCGGAGCAAGCGGCGGCAATTTGGCGCGGCGACATGGGGGGCAGTGCACAAGATAAAGGCCCCGCGCGAGATAGCGAGAGCCAGGTTGTTAATGCTGCACAACCCCCCCACCCCACCCAAGGCCTTCCCAGATATCCCAAGGGGTCGGCGGTGTGGCGTAAGCCCATGAATCACACAAACACACACACACACACACACGCACGCACGCACGCACACACACACACACACACACACACACACATATATATATATATATATATATATATATATATACATATATATATATTGTGGGAAAAAACACACACGGTGGGAAACACACACACACACACAAATACACTCACACACTCACACACGCACACACTGTGTGTGCGATTTGTCCCACTGTGTGTGTTTGTTTGCCCTCCTGCCGTCCTGCTGTGCCCCGTTGCTCTACAGTCAGGGCGTGGCCACGGGACGCAGGACGAGAGCAGGAGCCCCCTCGCCGAAGGCCCCCCGTGGGAATGCCAGAAACGAGAGGCACTCCAGGGTGGAGAGCCCAAGCACGAGGAGCACGAGAGCTCCCCCTTCAAAGCTGAGGTGGTTCTCCGCCCTCGTGCCAGCTGCACGAGGCTCCCCAGAGGCGTGGCATCCTCGATTCGCATCCGATCTCCTGCGCGATCTGCCCCATGAGATGCGAACACCGACAGTCCACATATATATATATATATATACATCTATTTAAATCTCTATGTATATATATATATATGTATGTATGTATGTATGTGTATATATATAGTCGACTCGTGAGCATGGGCACCCAGGCGTCGACGTATGCTGGGGCGGCGGCCTGTGCTTCCGCCAGGCTTCCGCTTGCGGCGCCGCCCTCGTTGGACTTCAGCTAGCTTCTGCGGGGCTTCCGAGGACGGGAAGCCGACCCCTCGATCACTCAAGGAGGGAGGGACCGTTTCTGAACGACACACATGGCCAGGCCAATCCTGCGCCACGGGATAGGTGGATTCGAGGGTGGACAGAAACCACTTTTGCAAAACGCTCTTCCGTGAAAGCTGCCAAAGGCCCTCCACGTGCGCACGGCACAGCACTCCGAGTGCACCACAGCGGGCCGGCTAACCGGCATGGACAAAACAGCCGAATGTACTTGCCGAAACGCACTCCCCGTCCTCCTCCTCCAGCCGCCACCCCAGCATCTGCCCAGCAGTGAGTGAAGGTCCACCAGGGTCAGGCGAGTGAGAGCACTGCACGCCCACGCCAGCCCGCCGCGACGGCCGCCTCGCGCGCCGAGCCTGGCAAGTTCCTCAACCTCCTCCTCCTCCTCCTCCTCCTCCTCCTCCTCCTCCTCCTCCTCCTCCGCCTCCTCCGCCTCCTCCTGGTTCCTGGTTCTCCTGATGGCAAGAGAGTTCTCCGAACGCTACCCTCCTCCTCCTCCTCCTCCTCCTCCTCCTCCTCCTCCTCCTCCTCCTCCCCCTCCCCCTCCTGCTCCTCAGCATGCCCCTCCTCCAGCCGCCACCTCAGCATCCGCCTAGCGTTGGGGCGAATGTCCACCGTGACAGGCGGGTGAGAGCACGGCCACGCTTGCCAGCCGCGCTGACCGACTTGCGCCCCGTTCGTGACCGAGCCGTGCAAACCCCTGATTATCGGGAGCGGCCAAGAGGGGGGTGTCCAAGAGGGGGGGGTGCTAATCATGACCGGCGGCATGTGCACGGCCCAGCGGGGGGGCCTGGGACGTAATGGAATAAGAAGAGGCGCCATGAAATCTGCGGAGATATCATGGCCCGCGCCATGATATCCACCCCCCCTAGTCATCACCCCCCTCTTTTCCGCCCCAGAAAAACGCCTCCCTCCCTCCTCCACCTCCTCCCTCCCCCCTCCTCCTCCTCCATCCTCCATCCCCCCCCCTCCTCCTCCATCCCGCTCGTCCCCCTCGCCCTCCGTCCTCCCCCCTCCCCCCTCCCCCTCCTCCTCCCCCTCCCCCTCCCCCTCCGCCTCCGCTCGGGAGTGGCGCCCCCCCCTGGGGCACACGGGCACCGAAGGCGCCGAGGGCGCGCACGCTGCAGAGGGCCGGCGGAGGCAC